TTAAAAACAAATTATAAATAATTACATAAGTTAGTAGATAATAATTTGTGAATATTTCCACGTACGTAAGTTAGTAGACAATGATGATGTGATGACCCAAAAGGCCATCACTTGTTTTTAAATCGAATTCTGCGTTTCGAGGCCTTAAAAATCTCTTTTAGCATCACTTCAATTTGCGTGCGCAGTCCGGGCGCGTAGCCGGAAAGCCTATATGTGAAAATCTGTGAAAAATGATAAATTTTGACTATAAAATAAATTAATTTGACTTCGGTCAACGTTTTGGGTAAACGGACCCGGACCCGTGATTTGACGATCCCGGAGGGTCCGTAGCAAAATATGGGACTTGGGCGTATGCCCGAAATCGAATTCCGAGGTCCCAAGCCCGAGAAATGAATTTTTAAAGAAAATTATTTTCTGAAACTGTTTAAAGGATTTGGAAATGAATTTTGATTAGAACATGTTGGTATCGGGACCGTATTTTGGTTCCGGCGCCCGGTACAGGTCTTATATATGATTTAAGATAATTCTGTGAAGTTTGGTAAGAAACGGAATCCGTTTGACGTGATTCGGACCTTAAATGCAAATTTGATGTTTAAAGAAGTTTTGAGAAATTTCATTGATCTTGAGGTTTAATTCGATGTTCATGATGTTATTTTTGTGATTTGAGTGCACGAATAAGTCCGTAGGATGTTTTTGAGGTTGTGTGTATATTTGGTTTGGAGCCCCGAGGTCTCGGGTGAGTTTTGGATAGGCCACGGGGTGCATTTTGAACTTAAAAATTTGTTGGTGTGTTTTGACCTGCAGGCTTCGCATTTGCGAAAGCCTGTCTCGCAAATGCGAGCCATTCACCGCAAATGCGAGAGGTGGCCTGGGCAGCCTTCTTCGCAAATGGGAAGTACCCGTCGGAAATGCGACCCCCGCCCAAAATCCTCTATGATCGCAAATGCGGCCTATATGTCGCAAATGCGGAAGTCGCAAATGCGACCTTCCTTTCGCAAATGCGAAAAATCCAGATTTCTTAGGGTTTGCAAATGCGAGCCCTGTTTCGCATTTCCCATAACAGTAGAGGTCGGGGTTCGCAATTCCCATATCAGAGACCTGTAACTTTTATACTTAGACGATTTTAAACCCATTTTTCACATTCTCTCAAAACATAAACACACTTAGGCGATTTTTTAAGGATTTCTTCTTCTCCAAATCAATTGTAAGTCGTTTTTAACTAACTTCCTTCTTTAACATGATTTCAACTTCAAATCAATGATTTTCATGGGGAAATTGGGTGTTTTGGGTAGAACCTAGGTTTTTCAAAAATTGGGGATTTGGACCTCGATTTGAGGTCCGATTTCAAAATAAATTATATATTTGAGTTCGTGGGAGAATGGGGGATCGGGTTTTGGTTCGAACCTCGGGTTTTGACCATGTGGGCCCGGGGGCGATTTTTGACTTTTTGGGTAAAACTTTGGAAAACTCATTTTCATGCATTGGGGTTGATTCATTTAGCGTTTATTGATGTAATTAAGTAACTTGTGACTAGATACGAGCGAATTGGTGGTGGAATCAAGGGGTAAAGCTATAATTGAATCGTGAATTATGTTCGTGGCATCGAGGTAAGTGTTTGATCTAACTTTAGCTTGAGGGATTAGGAGTTGTGTCTATTTGCTACGTGTTAATTGTGGAGTACGACGTATAGGCATGGTGACGAGTATCTATACGTTAGTGTCAAGCATGCCCGTGAGTCTTGCATTGTAATCGTTATGACTCCGTTGTGGTTTATTGTGCCTCACATGTTATTATCATCATTGTTCCCTTGCCGGGATGTTTGTTTTGATATTATTGCTCCCTTGACGGGATATTGTTGAAATATCAGAGTTCCCTTGCCGGGATATTTGTTTTGATATTAATGTTCCCTTGCCGGGGAAGTTCTTATATTGCTCTTGTTCCCTTGCCGGGATTCTTTGTGATTATTGTTGGTTTGAAATGGGAGCGGGTGGTACGCCTACCACAAGATAATTGAAATGGGAGCGGGTGGTACGCCTACCACAAGATAATTGAAATGGGAGCGGGTGGTACGCCTACCACAAGATAATTGAAATGGGAGCGGGTGGCACGCCTGCCACGAGATACAGGAAATGGGATCGGGTTGCACGCCTGCAACAAGATGTGAAAAGAAAGTGAAATCTGCTTTTGTTTCCTTATTCTTGTTAGTGGTTGGATTTTGATCCCTTTATAATTCTCTTGATATTCTGTTTTTTTACCTGTTATTCCCCGAAGCATGTTTGCCCCTCCCATCTTTACTTGTTTACTTCTGTATTTCTTTTCCGATGTATATATATTTGAAATGTACAAGTCTATGTGGTAGTCTGGTCCTAGCCTCGTCACTACCTCGCCGAGGTTAGGTTAGGCACTTACCAGCACATGGGGTCGGTTGTGCTGATGCTACACTCTGCACTCTTTTGTGCAGATCCCAGCGCTGTTGACTTCGGAGAATAGATCAGTTGGCTACTATCAGTCCACGCGGAGATCCAAGGTAGACTTGCAGGCGTCCGCAGGCCCTAGCGTCTCCTCTATCTTCTATTCCCTGTTTCATTTTTCTTATTTCAGAAACAGTGTACGATTATTTCTTCAGACTTTGTGTGTAGTGAATCTTAGACTGTCTGTGACACTGTGACACCAGGTTTTGGGTGGTTAAGGCTTGAGTAATTGTAATAGACATAGATTCCCGATATTTCATTTTATTATTTTCTCCCGCCTAATTTAACTTTTCGCTGTTTATACGTTATCTCTTTGTGTTTGATAAAAAGGAATAAATGGATAATGAAGTAATTAGTTTTAAAGAATTGGCTTGCCTAGCTCACATTAGTAGGCGCCATCACGACTCCTGAGGGTGGGAAATCCGGGTTATGACAGATAATTCTGTTCTTTTCACGTTTATTGTTTCCAAAATTTATGATTTAGATACTGTTGGCAATCTGATTATTTATCTAGTATGTTAGAAAGCTTTTTCAAAAACTTCAGCTTATATAGTGCTGAGGTTTTTACAAATGAGCTAAATAACTTGAGCATCTTCTGCTGAAGTTTTTGAAAAAGCTTTATGACAAAACTAATGAATCCAGGACAAAAAAACTTCAGCTTTTAGTGCTGAAGTTTTTACAAATGAACTAAATAACTTCAGCAGCTTCTGCTAAAGTTTTTGAAAAAACTAATGAATCCAGGACAAAAAAAACTTCAGCTTATTTAGTGCAATTACAAAAAAAAACTTCAGCAAATAGAGAACAAAACTTCAGCTACTATGCTTAAGTTCAGCAATTACAAACAAAAACTTCAGCAAATAGAGAATAAAACTTCAGCTACTATGCTTAAGTTCTGCAATTACAAACAAAAACTTCAGCACACTTGCTACTTCAGGCCCGTCTACTAGAATGCTGAAGTTTTGCGTGATTGCTTTGCTACTTCAGCCCCGTATGCTGAAGTTACGTGAAAAAGCGGGTACGTTTGCAATTTTTTTTGCAAAGCGGGCACAAGTTAAAACGTGACCCAAAAAGCGGGTATAGATGCAAATGCCCCAAAATTTATTCATACAGAGATGTAGGTGAGACACAATTTAATATATTTGTATATCATATTATAAGATGTGTATAATTACAAAATAATATTCAACTAATTTAACTAAATTCATCATTTATGCATATTCGGAACATATTGAATACAACAACTATGTTAGTTTGAGAAAACTTATTTTCATCACTTAAACAAATCACTTATTTTCATCACTTAAACTTATTTTCATCACTTTTATATATATATATATATATATATATATATATATATATATCATTAATAGACACAATACACACGTGCAACGCACATATACTAAAACTAGTTAAGTATAAATGGCCGTCTGTAATGATGTTGATTTACTAAAATTCTAAGATAAGTAAAATTCTAAATATTATAAGTTTTGTTTATCGGAGAGTAGTAACTTTACATGGCTTAGAAACAGATAAAAATATTTGATATTAAAAAAAAATTATATTATGTATTTTGTTAAAAGTTCATTATCTTTCGCTATAAATTTTACAATAATAGTTGTAGGGGCTACATGTGTGTGATGTGTGAGGCATGTGACGTAGAGACTAGTATGTCAAAAATTATTTGTTCGATGTTACTTTGCCCTTTAACCCCTTTCTCTGGTTTAATTTTGTAAATTACCACTTCCTTTTTTTTTTAAATTTCCACCCGTTTGTTTTAATATTTATTTAATTTTTGTTTTACACATGTAGCAGTCCCTGTGATGCATGGTGGTGTAAAAACAGAAGATTTGCGGTATCCTAATGCTGAGAAAGAATTTGAGTTTGATCTGCGGGTGCTCTTTATGGCTTGAACATCTGAGATCGGCACCAGTGAATGTTTTAAAACTTCTTTCAGAGGAAACCAATTCTACAAACAGCAAAAGAAGAAATAACTGCTTTCTTTTTCCTCAAGCTAGAAGCACAACAAAAGCACTGATGAAATACAGCTGCTTTATTTCTTTTCATGGTGAGGTTATCTTCAGGGTTGAACTACCACGAACTCCCTTCTTACCTTCACTTTCATGACTAGATCACCAAATTTGGTTTTGCTTTTTCTTTTCAGCTACAATTTTTGGTGTTGTTCAAGATACAAATTTGTTCAAATTAAAGTAACTTTTACCCAACTGCAATGACATCCTTTCTTCCCCTTGACCATTAGTTTAGAGGGGAAAACGTGCGGGTTGGGGGTAACGCTTACACATACAACCATTTTTGGGTGGGAATTCTAATTTCCAACAAGATTCAAGCATGCAACCAAGCATTGAATGGAGAGGACTGAGCTGTCCAACTGGGGTTTGAAATTGTTAACTCAAGGGCAGTTTGAGGTTTCCAGGGTTTGGATTAGTTATTCAAGGGCAGTGGATTAAAGAGTAGTTCAGGGTGTGTAACTAATTTGGGTAATCAATAAGTTAACATAATGCAAGCACCTAAAAGCTCTTCAACTAGCTTTTTAGCTTCATAGCAGCCAAAAATGTATGTATCTTCAAAATGCATTTCTATCTGTTTCTAGATATAACAAACTTTAGATGATTTATGTTGTCTATATTGATTTGATTTAAGACTCCGGATTAACTTTGGATGATAAAGATGAGGGTTTTTTTTACCTCAAGCTGAGCTTGTATTTATTATGTATGTCTAAGATGTTGGCAATACATTTCATTCAATTCCTATGCGGCCTCTTCCAACTATCATATTTGAGATGTAAGTAATGGCTCAATTTTATTCCCACTTCATTGCACGGGTGATTTCCCATTCAACTGCGTCATGATCTTGATCCATAAGTCCGTCAACCTTTTTCCTGCAGTTCACCAATGCAACTTTGAATGTTTCGTGCTCAAGGGATGATGGGTACATTATCTGCTCTTCCTGATATGTCAAAACCAGAATATGAACAATAGTAAGAAGATAACTGAGCACTTATTCGTGCTATCAAGCATCAAACACAGTTCCAATCAAAGGTCAATGGTTACTGGGTCATTGAGAAATCGGCAGTTGATACTTTGAAGCAAACATGTTATAGTAATTCTTTTGAAGAGCCAAAGTATCAAAAAAAAAAAAAAAAAATTGGAGACTACATATAGGAACACTTTAATTGCCTGTCCATGGCACTCAAAAAAGGATTTTTTTTTTTAAAATAGTTAACTTTCACCATTTTCTTAAAATTAGAGGCAAGTGAAACAATTTTGCTCCTGAGAGAAAGCAGCTGGTATGTAACATATATATATATATATATAGTCGAATTAATAATCCAAATTCCGGTTTTCATGTTAGGCAGTTGGGCTTTACCTCTGGTAGTTCGCAGAATTCATCAGGAGTTATTTGCAGCAACTCCACAGCAGTTTGACCAGTACACCAGGCAAAGATTTTCCCACTCTCATCTGCAAGAGTTATTTTTAAATGGAAACTCCATGCCAGTTCTGCATTGCATTTACATTGACAGAAGCTGCACTTGAGATCCTCAATGCAACTATCATCAAGAAAATAACCACAACACGTATGTGATAGTCTCGTAGTCACGTGACAATGTTCAATTTGATCCAGCCAGACACGACATACCTGGAATACAAACAAACCCACAACCATAATGAGAAGTGCAAATTCAGTTTTGCATAAGTAGCATAATGACAACAGAAATGAGACTCTAATAAGTCTGACTATATTCTCTTTGTATCTCCAGCAGTTCGACTAACAGGCGTCAGAGGGGCTTAATAGGAAACTTATCTACTTCAAAAGCTCAATCCTTCAACTTTATTAAGCTCCTTAAAAGTTGAAAAAGATTACAGATGTAATTCTAGCATTTGAACAGACCCCAATTAAATAGAAAGTTGCTCAACTTTTCATATGATGCAGAAACTGTAAATCTTGAGCAAGAAGCAATACCTGAGTTGCTTGTTCTAGAGACAACTTAAAAATAGACAAGAGTGACATATCCAGTTTGGATTTATGATCGATACATCTACAACGAAGGCTATATTCCAGCTTGGAAGATTAATAGAAATTTATCACGAAAAGAAGAAAGATATACACATGATGTTCATTTACCTAGAGAAAGCATATGATAGAGTATCACGGAAGGTCCCTTGATGGGTGATGGAGAAGAAAGGAATTCATATTAGACATATAAATGTCATAAAGGACATGTACAAAGTAGCTGTCACTAGTGTGAAAAACGTAGTAGGAGACAGAGAGGAGTTCCCTATAGCAGTGGGTTTACACCAGGATTCAGCATTGAGCCTCTACTTGTTTGCCCCAGTTATGGATGAGCTAAACAACACAATACAAGAAGAGATGTGGATGCTAAGATGGATATGTGGTCATCCAAGATTGGATAAGATTAAAGTGACAAATTCGCGAGAAGATTCAAGTAGCACGCATTAAGGATAAAATGAGAGAAGATCACTTGCGATGGTCTGGTCACGTACTGCGTTGACCTACAGATGCGTCGTCTGTACGTGTGAAACTATGGTGAGTGAATGTATTAAAAGTGGAACGGATAGACCTAAAATCACTTGGAGGAAGTTGTCTCAAAAGAGCTCCAATCAATGCAGACTTTTTTTTTGATAAGGTAAATTGTATTAATCAAAAGGGAGAGAACTCCCGTATACAAGAAGTATACCAAAAAGTAGAGAATTTACATCAGAACATGATTCTCTACAAAAGACGCCCAATCTTCTATACAAATAGGGGTTATATGAGTGCACCAAAAAGCGATCAAAGATAAAAGATTATTCTTAAGATGTGAAAAAGGAGACTCAATCCCCTCAAAAGCTCTCCTATTTCTCTCCCCCCAAACTATCTACATGAGAGCTAACGGGGCGAACTTCCACGCCTTTTGCTTTCTTCTTCTATGGAAACCGGCCTAGCTATATAGCATTTCCTTTACAGTGCTTGGCATCACCCATAGAACACCAAAAGGGTTCAGGATCACCCTCCACAAAGCCGAGGAAACAGGGCAATGCAACAAAAGATGATCAACTTCTTCCCCTAAGCTTTTACACATATAGCACCAACTAACAAGTGTAATTCCCCTCTTTCGCAGATTCTCAGCAGTCAAAAT